CCAAAGTTTTTAAAAACAAGGTCAGTCTCGCAGGACTTATATATTTTTATATATTTTACTCTCTTTGGCAGTACGAAAATCTGCTCCGGCCGAATGGGTTAAAAATCGCTACGAATGAATCAATGTTTTCAGAAAATTAATTGATTTCGGTCGTCACTTGATGCATTTTTGAGACTTTATGCTGCCTTAAAAATAATTTAAATGTTAGCCACTGGTTCTTAACCTTTTTCTTCGCACAGGAATTATCTGCGGCCAAAAAGCTTGGATTTATAGTTGAAAAAAATGGGGGATATTTAGTTCTATCAGAGACGATTTTAATTGAATAAAAAACGGTAAAAAAGGAAATACCGAGAGGAACTTGGAAAATGAGTTGATTGAAGTTTAAGGTAACCTCATGTAACTCTGCTGCGGAAACCTAGATACTGTAATAGACCACTGAAAATAGCACTTTATTGTTTTGAAAAATTGCATACATTTTTATCGAATTTTCTCACACATTTATTTCCACTGCATTTTCAGACTGGTGGAACATATGTTGAAGCAGGTGCTCACAATGGACTGAGTGAGTCTAATACTCTGTACTTGGAAATGGCCTTGGGCTGGACTGGTCTACTTGTGGACCCCAATCCAGAGTACTTCCAAAACCTCACCAGATTGAGGAGAAGAACCAGAGTGTTGAATGCCTGCATCAGTCCTTCCAACAAAAAGAACTCTGTATGTATAACCTTGAAATTTTTCTTTTCCGATTTCCAGCCTATCTTGAATGAATGAATAGAAAGCTTTATTTTCCGCTTTTCAGCATTCACAAAGTTCAATCATCATTCCAACATCCAATAACTAAAATCCATTCAAAGGCATTCTATCACTTCAGAATTGGAAACAGAGAAAAAAGCTGCATAAAATGAAAGAAAATACATTCCAAAATATACAACTTCTGCATAACTGATGTTCTTGCATACACCCCGTCTTTCCCTGAAATTGAAAACAAAATACCAGAAACAAGAAATGCGGTACATGCCAGAATTCGAGAAATTGCAGCAGTTACTGAACCCCGTCTTAGAAAGTTCTTTGTTTTTTAAATCCAGCTGGAAATTGAATGGAAGAACATGAACAAGGATATCAGCTTGCATGGAACCAACTTCCAAGCCACTTGTTACCCATTGTTCAACATTCTGGATGCAGCAGGTTTACTGAAATTGGATGTTCTTTTTTTGGATGTTGACGGTGTGGAAATGAGCATTTTGGATGGATTTCCCTGGCCAGTGTTTAGGAATTGGTCATCAATCAGCGATTTCAATTCCTTTGAAATCGGATCTGAAATTTGTTTCACGGAATTTCGGGATTCCGAAGCATGCTGGTAATTTATGTAAACGATGCACATTAATAGGAGTGCAACAAGTAGATATAATCCGTGACACTTCGACTGAATCCAGCTCATTATAAACATATTTTCAAAAAGTAGCCTGGAAAAATGAAGTTTCTGAAAACGAATGACTTTGTCAGAAAAATTTAAACAGAATACAAACAATCATATCCGAAAAATCGTGAATGGAAGGAAAATTCGAGGAGAAATGAAGCTGTACTTCATCCCATCAATAGCATAAAACGCATCAAATCTATTTTTTGAGCTTTTCCAGATTTCAAAGAATCAAATTTCGAAAAACGCAAGGAATTAGTCTTTCAGTGTTCAGCGCGGTTATTATTTCCATCAACGGATTTAAGATACAATTTTGTTTGATTTCTTTTGTGATATTGAATTTTTCTGACGAATTTGACAAAGGAATTTTCAACTGGTCAAAATGTGTGTTTTATTCTCAACTTTACTTGCGTGCCTTAATTTGCATTTGAAATCAAAATTCGAAATCAAGTTCAGCATTTTCACACACCATTCCAGAAATTCCAACGGATAGCACCCAAGTATTGCTTTAAATCTTTATAAAAGACCACGGTTTCCCGAAAATTTCACCACGGAATGATTTTTTTTTTCGAAAATTTCACCACGGAATGATTTTTTTTTTTTCGTTGTAAAATATAAAGGAATCCATAATAGACTGAAAATTTCCGCTACTCGGTTTTTTCCTCATTTGTCTTGCAGCTTGTTGTCAACTGTTCAACTCCTTTAGTTAAAGCTTTACTGAATTCATGGGCAGTAGGGCAGTATAAGCAAGAGACACGTAGCACAAGACCGACGTCGGTTACATGAAGCTTCAATTTTGTTTTCTGCTCCATGAATTATGAAGCCAGTACTCTACACAGTTGAACAGCAGCTCTGCAAGTTTTTTTTTCTTAACACTGGGGAAATTCAAGGATAAATAATTACCAGGAGCGACACTTGACCAATGTTGTGCCTGATAAGCACTTTTTGAAATAAATAAAAATTGCTTTTCTGGATAAACACTAAAGTGAAGAAAAAGTTCAATATTTTTTATGATCCTGCCAAAAATATTGAGAAAGATTCAGAAATCTTCTGAAGTTTCTCAGTGACATCATTAAAACAAACTTTGTATTCACATTAGAATGCAGTGAGAGGCTTCACAAAAAAATCAAGAGAAATAATCTTCATAAACATGGAAATCTCATGGTTAATTCCAAATTCTCAAGTTAAAAAATATTGCGAGGGTGGGGGATCTGCTTGTTTCCCAGGATGCAAAGTGGAAAAGTTTTTTTAGGGGTGGGACGTTCAAAAAAGGATCTCCCCTGCAAAACAGGGGTACCTCAATTTACAGAACCCAGGGCAACACTGCCAAAGGGAGGGGCATTTGTCTAAGGAGTCACAGCAGGGAATGCTAGGTTTAAAAAAATATTTTTTCAGATCACAAGTGTTAATAAATTACTGATGTTTCAGAAATAAAAAAGCATAATTTTTTAAACACCAGCAAGAAATCACTTCAGACAAATGTTGAGGCCACCAAAGGCTCTTTGAGTGGGAACAGCAGTGAAAATGTTATCCTGTCAGGCAGGGTGGCATGGTTGGAATTGAAATCTTCCATTGAATATTCTCCTGGCTATGATTCCTTCTCACTGCATCTTCCTGTTTCTGGCCATATTGGCCTTGATTTTCTTTTTAATGCAGAAATGATCTGGTTTCCTCCTCAAAGGTTTTTACGTGTGCAGTGTGCTGGAATTGATTTATTCGTGCCTGATTTTTTTCATCATGAAAACTTTTGCCTCTTTCCTGTTTTTGCCAGATTTTCATAATTGAAAAAAATTTTGATTTCCCAAATTGGGGAATTTTTTCAAATTCTCCAGGGGCCTATTTTTTCTGTGGGCCTAATGCTGCAGCATCAATAGCACCCACCTTCATTTATCTGGCCCTGGATGTTCATGTGAATTTTGAAGAAATTTTGTCATTAATTCCACCTTATGTCCCAAGAACTAGTCACAGTCACATTTTGAATGGGAAATGAAAGACTGTGCCTGCCTTCATAGGGGATTTTTTATTAGGAAATCATACCAGCATATTCCTTTCAAAAAGTTTGTTATCCTGGATTTGGAAAGTTTGTTGTAATGAGATTTTTTAACATTTACTCCATAGGATTTCCCTATAGAATTCTGTTGGGACTTGGAAATAAGTTTGTTATGATGAAAAATTTGTTTTAATGGTATTTTTGCAAGGAGATTTTTCTGTACACTGTCCAGAGATTATACAGGTAACAATGTCTACACCTCTTACTCATTAACTTATCGACACAGACGCTGAGTAAAATTAAGAAAACATAATTAACAAGTATCCTGATTGAGAGTGGATCATGAGAGAGTTTGAGAGAAGTGTCCCTTTCTTCACCAATGGATGATCAGATTAATTTTGCAATTTTTATAGAACTGTAAAAAATACTACAATGATAACCAGTTTGAGTAAGAATGTGTTGATTTGCAAGAATTATTTCAAGCTGGTAAGAAATATGGTCTGACCAAGTTTTATCCACCCAGTCATTTCCTGTGTGGAAACACATGTGTGAGAAATAAACTTTTACTGCTGCTTTGTCTTCAATATTGGGCATGGGTGGGTGTATGCAACATACGTGTAGGATGTCCCGTTTTATTTTGTGGAGTGTGTTCTCTTTTATTTTTGTCATTTGTTTGTACTTCGTTTCATGCTTTGAAATGATTGAATGTATTTGGGGGAGTTGGGTTGGGTGGGGAGGGGGTTTGGATTCAGGAGTTCTGGTTATGCCTTGTGAAGTGGCAAATAAAGTTTTCTGTTCATTCATTCATCATAGTCATATCAGAAAAATGAAGTAATTTTTAATTGTATTTTTATTATACAGTACACGTTATCAGTCGGTGGAAACAGGATTGGAAAACTCGTTTTCTGAAAAATTACCCTTTTATTCCTGGTAAGGCGAAATTTTAATGCTTTGTTTGTTTGTTTTTAAATCCCAAAAATGCGTTTAACCTGGATGAAGAAAATCGTCTGGGTCCGAGCACAAATTTGCGAAATGTATCTGATGCTAGAAGAACACTGCCATATAATCTTCAACCTTCAAGTTTCCGCATTTTAATCATTTACTATTTATTTCTTTGTCTTTTCTGCTTCAGAAAATATGGAGAAAATCGATATACTGTCATCATATCAGAAAGACTTCGAGTAAATTACTCGACGTTTTTCTGACATGACTGTATCGATTTTCTTTTAATATTTTTAGTATGCATGGTCAGTCGGCGTGAACAGGATTTGAAAACAACTCGTTTTCTGAAAAATTGCCCTTCTTTATTCCGCGTAAGGAGGAATTTTAAAGCTTCCTTTGTTTGAGGGAAAAAAAAAATTCCGAAACGGCGTTCAAACTGTTGCAAATTTTTGTGAGTCTGAAAGAGACCCTGAAAGAGAGTCAAGCATAGCAAATTTAATCTCTTGTTTCAAGCTAAAGGCAAGTCATTTCTCATGTCAGCTTCTTGAGGAAATTAATCCTCAGAGGAAAACGCCAAAAGGCAACTTAAAAGACCGGAGCCATAAAAGGGGACAAGTTTCAGCAATTGCCAAAACTTGTCCTTGGTTGTTTCTGTGAGAATCGGGTTTCACCCCTGCTCTCAGGACAAACTTAAATGGACCGTTGGTCTTGGAATTTTGCAAATCTCCAAAGCTCTAGAATAAAAACGGTACCCCAACTTAAAAAAGCGAAAACTGTGATCAAACACTAAATCTCAGTAGAAATTTCCACAAAACAAACCCTTTTTTCCTATTTCCAAAGTCCACGCAAAAACTTCACTGTCTTCCGAATGTTTGAACCAAGCAGATCTTGGGATACTTGGAAAACCTGCTGAAAAGTCAACCCTTTTGTCAAATCAAAGAAAATATACCATCTTCAAGTAGGGTGCTCTCAAGCACCCCGGTTGTAGCCCAACCCAGTCCATTGTACTATTTATTTCTTCCCTGTGAACATATCCTAAAATCTCTGCAACACAAACTACTGTTCATGAAGGAAATCGTCTAGGTTTGAGTAAATATTTCTGAACAAATTTTCTAAACTGCTGGTCTGCTGATCCCAGAAGAATGATGAGCCAATAAGTTTCCGCACTTCCTTCTTTTTTTTGCTGTTCTCTGGTAAAAGTTTGGAATTTGCTTCCGCAGATGACGGAGGGATGTCGCTGGCGTCGAGACGCGACCTGAAAAGCGTGAGCATGATGACCGACTCGTCTGACTCGTCTCGTCGCACGTCGATTCGCCGCCGGATCGGGTCCATCGAGATCCTGGACAAACGCCCGCCCGTGGCGACGCAACAGTTTGACTCGCACCCTGGCCTCAAGCCGTCCTACGTCCACATTGCCTGCGCCGTCTCGGGCTACTCTGACATCACTAGGTACAACTCGAAAATGAGGGACGAGTACAGGTCCAGGGACAGCAGTCCTGTGAAGATCCCTTGGTTGCGAGGAGGAGGAGGAGGAGGAGGATCCTCGGGAGCAGGAGGAGAGAATGGCGATCCTTTGGAACTCAGGTCACCGAATCTCGTGGCTGCCACGTCGCCGGTGAAGGAGCTCAGGAGTCCTCTCAAGGTAAACTTCAGTGAGGCCCCGATATCCGGACACCCTGACATACGGACGACTGGGACACTCGAAACCCAAGAAAAAAAAAGATGGCCCAACATCTGTCCGATGGCTTTGAGATAGGGACACTTTTCTGACATTCTCCAGAAAAATCAAGCGATTTAATTTTTAATTTCAATATTTTATAAATAAATCGAGCTATTTACAGGGAGACCCCCACATGCGGACACCTCGACCTGCGGAAAATTCGACGGAGGGACGCTTATTTTCTCATAAAAAACTAATAAAAAGGCCCAACATGAGGACACTGACTCAACATAGGGACATTTTGTTATAAAATTGCATATACAGTACATTTCAGGCCAAATTACAAGAAACAGATATTCCAACCATAAAATTGATACTGTAGTAAGAAACGTTCTTTGGCATTTTTCTGACCAATTTACCATCTATTTAGCTAATTTTAAAAAAATACCTCTGGCAGAGGCGGACATCCTTCTCTCTTTTTCACTTGAATATTATTTTTACAGCCAACATTTTTATGCATGGTAGAGGTATCCGTATTCAAGTCCCCAAGTGCCCATATTGTGTTGAAATATATTCATTGTAATCAGTTCAAATTGTGAGACCATTTTTATTTTCATGGAATTATGGTGAGTATTTTGTACATGAAAAAACCAATTAAAAATTATATAATGTAAGTCTAAGGGAAAATGAGATGACTTACGGACACTCTAGATGCACCAATTGCATCCGCATCTCAGGGTCTCACTGTATATTCACAAAAATGGGGGGAAAATGCATCATGCGTTTACTCTAATAGCGTACAGTACTTCATAATCAAAAACGAGCTGGTTTTGTGCTTTTTTCAGAGTTTGTTCTATGATTTGTGCACTGTCAGGGCCTGTTCTGTGGCGCCATCTGTTGACTTCCAGTGGCCATGACAAGCACACTATCACAGCTGTGCACATTATAGCAAGACGTTGTTTTTCTTTGATTTTTCAATGTCAAAGGATCAGATTCTGCGTGATTTTCTTCTGCACTGTTGTTTTCTACCATTTGAAGTTGGGAGAAGCATTTTTCATCAATTTTTGACAAACAGGAGAATTAGTTAAATACATTTGCCTTGAAATCTATCGGAAAACCTGATCCAAGATGTGGACAATTGAAGATTGGGAAAAGGTCTAACTTAGCACCAATTATGTCCGCATCTCAGGGTTCCACTGTATACTCTTCTCGATTTATTTATTTTTTTTACAGTACTTCATAACTCTACGATAACACATTATTCTTCCAGTATGGTTTCAAGTTTATCTACCCAAAAGGGTCTTAATATTTTCGATTATCGAATAATTTGATAGATGTCGCTTGGATCTTTGACGTAAATTGTCTAGCACATTACATTTCTCTCATTGAAATTCAGTCATTGATTCATTTTACTTCATTTTTGTGAAGGTCCTAGAGATCCAACATCAGCAGGAGAAGTTGCTCAGAGGCGGCTACGCAGCCAGCACTTTTGGCCAGGGAAGAAGCGTGAGCGTCGACAGGGCCAAGTTCTTCTCGACGCCGGTGTCGAGTCCGACGACGTCACAGTTCCCGAATGGACGGCAGCAACACGGACGAGCGACAGAAAACGAGTACGCGTCATCTGGACAATTTATTGTAGACCTCGTTTTTTGGAAAAATTTGACAGATGTCGCCTGAATCATGGATGAAGCAAATTTAATTATCATGGCGATATTCATAAGTACAGTAGTGAGATGAAATACTGTATTCAAGAAAATCATTATTAGAGTCTCCGACGTGGCGTTAAATTTAAAATGACGATGGGAAGACATTTTGGCGTGGTTGAGTGAATTTATTTTTGAAATACGGCTTCTTGAATGTTGGAAGAAAATTTGCTCTCCATGGTTTTGAGTCTTTAAACAATTTTTGAAATCCTTTAAAAAAAATCGTTTTGCTGTGTTTTTCAAAAACAGTGCTTTGAAAATTTGAAAGGAGGAAAGCCACGTCAAGAAATGCTGGTTCAATTGGGTTCAGTTTAATTTTTTTTTACTATTATATCCAGCAGCTTCATTAACATTCGAAAAAAAATGGTTCTCGTATTTATTTATTTCAAAAGTTCTGGATTCTGCATTCCTTCATCTCACTTTCTTAAGAGGCCTTGAAGTGCAAAGAGTCGATTGCAGAATTTCTGGAGAAACGGAAGGTTTTTCTCCCTCAAGCGTATTGTCTGCAGTTTCGTGGAAACAAGAGATAAATACTTCCAATAGCTTCTACCGACTTTCTGTACTCCAGAATGAATTCCCTTCGTGTATTGTATCCCCGTTAAAAATTTTGGAAGGGGGTTTTTTTTGAGTCTCAGAATTTCAAATTTGGCCCTGTTCCAAAATTGTTCGCGCCTCATGGAACTGAAAGTTTTTTTCTTTCTCTTGACGTCTCTCGGAAAATTTCGAAATTCTTTTTTCGATTTAATTTCCATTCAGAATTGCGTTGCTGTGTTGAATCGAGTGGTTTTTTTATTCGTGTTTTGTTTTTGTCGTTCAGTTTTTTAGACACGGAGAAAGAGCGTCGATCGAGACCGTCTCGCCGAGGGGAAAAGAAATCTGGGGCCACCAACGGCATGTCGTCTTCTTCGTCGACAGCGTCCAATTGCGTCCCCGAAGACAGGGAATACACCGACGCCATCAAGTCTGGCAAGTCGTTCATCCAGCAACGGATCGAGCGTCTTTATGGCCAGGTTCGATTTTTGTGTTTTCTTTTTTTAAATGCATTTTTATTGGGGCTTGGTTAGGATGAATGTGTTTTTAAATTTTGCCTTGAGATCGTCTTGTGTTCAGTTGGCTTGAAAATTGAAAAGCAGAAATTATAAATTTTTCCAATTATGTTTTACGGTTTTGCTATTTTTGAGAAGTTTTAAGAAATTTTTTCAAGACGCTGCGTTTTTATTTTTTATTATGGCCAGAGTTTGTTTACACTCATTTCACAGTGTGCTGTAAAATTGTTCTGACAGTTTAAAAATTGAAATTTTTTTTTCAAATACGATTTAACTTTCCATATCTGAAATTTTTTTATTTTATTATCAGTTTTCTTGTTTTAAGTTTCAGTGGTTAAATTTCGAAGGGGTTCAATGGCATGGTGTTGATTTAAAATTTCATGTGACTTTATGTTAGACATCAGACTAGCTTAGGTTTAGTTTGTTGAAGCTTCAAACTAGGAATTTTGTGTCAATTCAGCGTAAAGTTGAGTTTTGAAGTTTAATGTTTTACATTTTCCGTAAATGGATGAGGAAAACAAAATATTCCGGTGATGAAAGGATGATTTTCAAGTCCAGCTCGCTTGTGTTGCGAAAGAAATTCGGATTTTTGTTCTTTTTGCTTTTTGCTCTTTTTGATTTAATTCTTATTTTTTCGTGAAAATGAACGTGGTTTATTTTTTAAATCTTCAGGCTCGACGGAAATCGGATGCGGAGGATGACGTTGACGCGGCGACAGCGGTGAAGGCGGCTCCGTCGAGGCGTCCCCAGCAACAACCGACGGCGCCTGGGACGCCACCAGTCTTCCGACACCTGCGGCAGGAATTCCGCGAACAACTGGCTGTGGTGAAGCCCATGCCTAGAAAGCGAGCTGTCACGTCTGTCACGTTGACGCTGTCGCGTCCCGACGGCGACGAGGCCAAGAATCCCTCCAAGAGTGTCGTCCAACCGACTTCTCTTGAGGTATGTCGGTTTTATTTGATTTTTCGTGGGAATTTTTTCTTTTTTTTCAAAGTTTTTAGAACAGTACTGCTTGACGCGTACTGAAGGGTTTGAAAGTCGTTTTGTACTCGATTCTGTTTTTTTTTTTTTCCTTTTTTTCGTGGGACTGGATTATTGTCGCAGTTTTTCGTTCCCTCTGTACAATAAAAATGTATTTGAAAACTCGCATCATGCATCTATTCCTGTCATCTATTATATTGAAAAGTCTCCAAAGTACTGCTTATGTGAATTGTGAACTCAACTTAGTACAAGTTTTATTTCAAAAATGTTTGTTTCACTCGCTTTCTTCCTCTGGAAGCCTTTCAAGATACCGTTGACCTCATCGGGAGAAACCTCCATAAATCGCATATTTTTTCCGAAGAATTTTGACGTCAAATAGCTTGAATCGTGGTCGTCGAGAAAGAATTTTTCCTCCCGCCCTTTTTATTGAGCATTTTCTTGGAATACCGAATATGTAAAAAATTCTCGCAGTGCTTTTTTTTTTTTTAACGAAAAGCGTTCCTGTTTATTTGACATTACTGCATTTAAATAGTACAGTAAATTGAATTATTTTGTGTGAAGTTTCATATCGCCGATTTTTCCTCATGATAGTTTCTATTCAATAGTAGTTCGGGTCAGTCAGAGTCCGGTGAATGTTCTGTTGAACTGTGTTACTTCACTTTTGGTTCAGTTAAATCAACAATTGAATTGGAGTTATTTTCTCGTGAATCATCTCATGTTCAAATTCAATTGGGTCAGGGTCATTGAGTTGAAATCTTCGAGAACCCGCCATTGATGTGAAATCCTCGTGGCAGCTCATCGAAAGTGACGCTCATTTCTCTGGCATAACATTTTCCGGTCGAATCAACCTGAGCCAAATTGTTCTCATTTATTTTAAAAATCGGTAATATTTAAACAAACATTTTTTGACACTTGTGTGATTTTTTTGTCGCGTGTAGGAGAGTAAACCGAGCGATTCTTCGTCTCCTGAGGAGACCAAGAACAAGAGCTTGTTGTCGCCGGATCCGACGGCGTCCGAGATGGACGACGACATTTCGGCGTCCACCGACTCTTTCTCGTATCCAATGGTGAAGGATGGCGCCTATTATGTCAAGGTTCGTTAAGATTTTAATGTTTTTTTTCTTCAACTAATTCATCCGACGAAGTTTCTTGACTTAATTGAGATTCACGCGACACCTGCGTGATAATTTTAGAAAGTATAATCGCTGTGACGAACGGGAATAAAGCATTTAGTGTATTATTATGAGAAATCTCTTATCAAGTTTGTTTGACTTCTTTCCAGGTGATGGACGACGAAAGAGAAAGATTGGCTGCTTTGATTTCCAAGACGGAGGAGGACTTGGTTTCGGGGGTTGTCCCAGAAGAAACGTGCGGGATGTTGCGAGCGACATCTGGCAAAGCGCGGCTGCTGGTTGACCAAAAATTTGCTCAATTCAAGTCACTGTGCGACAAGAATCTCGTGCGTATTTATTGAATGTTCCTGCTCGCGTTTTATTTTTTTTCTAGAGCTGTACAGGGGTATTTTCTAAACATGGTAAAATATATAAAATACACTGAAGACCTTCTGTCATTAATTTATTCTTCGCTTGAAATCTTTTGAGAAGTTAATTTTATTAAGTTTGCGATTATCGTGACGAAGATGAGTATGAAGTTGTTTGTTTTTTTGCTGATCAAGTTTTGTTAAGGCCTCGTAATACATTTTTTCGCATTCTCAGTTTGTTCATTTCTGATGCTTTACAATGGTATTTTCTCCATTTTCGAAAGTAACAATTATAAGAAAAACTTGAGACGTTCGGTCTCTAGTTTATTCTTCGTTCCTCATACAAGTAGTTGTTTGAAATATTTCGAGAAATTTTTCTCTCTAGTTGACGAGTACCATAAAAAAAGATGAGTCGAAACTTTTTTGGCTGACAAAAGTTTCGTCGAAATGCGTGTCATCTTTTGGAAGTTAGAATTTTTTTAATTGACATGAAATGGTTCTTCGAAGTTCACCAATTCTAGTTCTGATATATTTAATAGAATGTTCAAATGAAAAATCTTGAATTCTCTTTTTCAGTCTCACTCGTAAGATTTTTCAAGAGTTCAAAAGAAATTTCTTCACATGCCCAAATTTTTGAAGATTTCAAATGATTTCCAGCCCTGCTGTTATTAAAAAGTTGTATTAAAGATTACTTTATGTATTTTAATTGATGAGATGGATCAAGTTATAATTTGTCATTCATCTTTTTCGGTCTCACTTGAGCTGATTTTTCGTATACTGCTATTTCAGAAAAACGAAGCTGCGGAAGGTGAAGATAAAGTGACCAACGAGGACCTGGCGGGTTTCTGGGACCTGGTGAGCATCCAAGTGGAGCAAATCAACGAGATGTTCAAGGACGTCGATTCCCTGCGACGAAACAACTGGACGCCGCCTGCGGAGGCAGAGGCGCCGCCGCCGCCACAGTCCTCATCACCCTCGTCCGCCACACCGTCTCCGTCAACGGCGTCCAAACCTCGTCGCGGAAATTCCTCGTCGTCCGTTGCCAAGTCGGCGCGGAAAAAGAGCACGCCGTCACCGGCGGCGTCGGCGGCGGCCGAGGAGCGGCGCAAGATGATTGCCGAGGCCCGGCGGCGGATGAAGGAGGAGAAGGAGGCGGCGGCGATGATGATAAAGAATAAGGAGGTGGACGATGAGCAGCAGCTGCAACAACAACACCAACAAGAAGAGGTGGCCATTTTTGACGGCCGGATGTCGCCCGAGTCTGGGCTTTGACCAAGGAAAGAATGATTACTTTGTGTGTGGGGGCTCTGTGTCCTTTTTTTTTTCCCCCTCGCTCTGTGACTTTAATCCTCTATGTTTGTTGCGCACAACAACAACATTGAGGGAGTGTCCAAAGGGTTGTTTTCTTTTTTTATTGCCTTGTGCTCCCTGCTGAGCGTTGATGATGATGATGATAATGACCAAGATTTTCCCTTTCTTCGTCTATAGAGAGTGTGGTTTTTTCCTGGTTCCCCCGGTGTTGATTTCCGGTTTGACTAGGTGTCGCTGCTTCGATTCCAAAACTTGAAAATCATGCCGTTTTTAATTACAAGGAGTATTTCAAGAAATTTCAGTGGATCTCGCGTAATTATGTGGTTTTTTTCTAGACTTCACATCATTTGGAATTCAAGTTGCATTAATGGTTTTTGAAATGATATCATAACCGACTGGACGCGGGTTGAAACTTACCGAGCGCTTGAATTGAATAAGCTGCTTAGTTTCTTGTCTCGTATTTTAGGTTTCACTCCTTTTCAAGAGCATTTACCGGAATGTTGCTTTTATTTGTTTATTTATTGCTGTGTAGGTGTCGCTCCTTTCCAATTTTTCAGCTGTTCCAAGAATCAAGCATTTCTTGCTCTTGATTTTTTTTCCTTCTTGCTTTTCAGTTTGTTTTTATTTTAAATTGAAGATAGCATTTGATTTCTCCAGAGCCGAGTGAGATAAAGGTAGTTGTGAAGATAAGACGGTGACACAGGTGGAAGAAAAACGTTTGCATTTCATTTTCCAACTGTAAAGGTGATCGATATTTGATGGAATTAACTGCGGATTTGATTTCATTTTGGCATTGATTGTTGCGACGCTTAGTCGGTCGAGGGAGGGGGGAATCATTTTTTCCTTCTTATATTGTTTTCGCCGTTAATTAATTTGCCGGTACCTTGCCTTTTGAGGTGCGCAGTGATTGCCGGTATTGATTGATTGATCGTAGGAGAAAGAAAGAGAAACTCGCAGAAAAGAAAGAAAGAGATGAGATGAGCGTTTTCAACTTTTTCGACAAAGTCTGTGATACTCGAGATGTGAGCCGTTTGTTTGCCCCCGTTTTGTGTTTTTTTTTTGCGCGAAAAACGGAAGAAATCTCAAGAAAAACGATTTTTTTCTCTTTTTTGTTTTGTTTCCTGGGGGCGGCGTGTTAGCATTCCAAAGTGTCCGCCGGTGGAAGGCATATCAGTTCAGCCCAAGTATTGCGTCGTTTTTATTTTCTGTCGGTTGTCCCCGCCCTTGTTCCACTTTGTTCTTTCTTTGTTTTTGATACAATTTATCCAGGCAGGAAATTTTGATGACCAGGGAGGAAATTTTGGGTGGGAGAGGGATTTGTTGAAATTTGACCCCTTCTCAGTGTTCCTTGATGTAGATATCAGGCTTGCGCCGCGCGGGGGAAATTTTAGGAAAATATGTGGAAGTTTGAAGCAACTTTTCTTGCTCTTCTCAGGATGAATATTTTTTAAGATCACTTTTTTTGAATAACTGACCTGATGATCTTACACTGGAAGTAATCCAGAATTGGAATTCGCTTGCTCAGGAAAGGTTATTAAAATATTTCAGCAATCTTTACAGAATTCTGCTCCTGAGGTACTTTCTGAGAAAGAGAAAACCCGAAAGAGAACTAATTCTTAATTATTTTTTCTGTTAATTTATTCGAATTATTAATTCCAACGATCTCTTGCTGAATATTGTGTAAGATCACTTGTATGATTTGTTGAAAAAACTGCCATGATGATTTGTCAAACTGGAAATAATAATTCTGAATTGAAGTTCACTTGTTCAGCAAAGGTTGGTGAAATATTTTAGCAAACTTTCCTGAATCCTGCACTTGGGTTTTTTATTGAGAGGGAATTAGAAACTGGACTGCATCTGCTTTGAGATTTTTTTTCTCTACATTTATTAAAAATAGTAATTTATGACTGATATCTCATGCTCAACATTGTGAAAGATGGAAATGACCGGCGTGATTATTTGTCAAACTGGAAAGAATAAGCCAAAACTGAAATGAACTTGTTCTAGAAAGGTTAAGGGAAAATTTCAGCATACTTTCCAGGAGCAGTAACTTGAGTTGGTGTCCGGAAAATCAGAAAAAAGACTGAATTATCTTTCATGATTTGATTTTTCACTATAAATTTATTAAAATAAAAATTTATTCAAATTTTTAAAATAAAAATTTATTCAAATTTTTAAAATAAAAATTTATTCACATTTTTAAAATAAAAATTTATTCAAATTTTTAAAATGAAAATTTATTCAAAATTTTGAAATAAAAATGCATTAAAATAAATTTTGAAGTCATTGAATTATAAACTTTGTCCAGAAGCGGAGTTCATGAAGTTCGTGTGCCTGTGAGAAATATGACTGTCTTTCTTTTTGACCACTAATCTGGGCATTTGTTCTTGCGTCTTGGGACCATTTAATCATATGCTATGAAATCCTTGCATTTATTTTTGGCACTTTGAACCAAGTAAATATGTGTATCATTTATTTCTTTGCTTGATTCAGGTTTTTTGCCAAACGGCAATTTTACCAGATTCAATAATGGAATTTTTTAAAATGGGAATTAACATTTTTGATTGTGAAGGCATATTTTCCAGACAACTTTGATCCAGCTTAGCTCTGGAAGATGTCGGTCACATGCAACGGAAATTGTGTGCAGATGTCGCTCCTCGAGAAAGATCAAGATTTTCTCAGGCGTCAGCCGAAATGTGCATTTTGTGATCTATCCACATACTACTTCTGTATTTCGTTTTTTCTAACATCTTTGAGTTTTCGCTGGGAAGAGCAGGAAAAGTTGAAGAAAGGTGGTTTTACGAGGAAAAAAAGAGGACCTTGGCAATACAATCAATCCGGAGTTTTTTCGTGCGAGAGGGATTTTTTCGGAGGAACACGAATTGTTCATAGATTCAATTTATATTTATTGCAGTTTTGTCTGCGCGTTCCCTGATCCATCCAGAGATTCTTTTTTAGGACTCGTTGCTTTTGTTGATTGTTAAAAAATTCCTTCAGTTCCTTTTTTCCTTGATATCTTGCGGCTTTTTCTGGCTCCATTTTCCGAGTAAATTTTTTCAGGAATTTCGTTTCTGCTTTCGAATTTTGATCGAACTTCGCATTATTTTGACGAGAAAAACGAAAAAGAGCGTTTTTGAGTTATTGAAGCAACAAGAGTCTTGAACAAAGCCAAACTACGACGAAAATGTAGCCTTGGATTTTATTCCTGTCGTGCATGTGCTTTGTCATTCTGACGCAAACGCGGGGTTATTATATTCTAATGGGGTTGACTTATTGAAATCTAACCCGTGACGAAAGATTTTATGAATTTTCACAACCCAACAATTGAATTCCTCAAGAAAAGAGGATAGATTCAGTTCTACTGTACTTGTATTCTGTTTCATAATGGTTGAAAACATGCCTTCCTATGATGATTGTACTGACCCTAATCTTGAATTCCCCAAATAGCTTCCAATGTAGGAATTCTTCGGAAAGATTAGATAACTGTGGATTTGCAGAATCTCAAGAATGTAATGGTTTGTTCTGTGGTTTGGAAGCATTTTATCATCAAGTTCAACTGAACAGTGTTCTTAGTGTGAAAATCTTGATATTTAGCGCCTCAAATTAATTATTTTCCTTCCACTAATACATGGAAGTTCAGCTTTTAAATTTAAAAATGGCTGTACTTTGCACGCAAGGATTGTTTCATGAGTTCTGTCAAGACTTTTGCTCATCTTGCTAATCAAGTCGACAGACAAAAATTCTGGAATCATCAAACTAACTTCTTTTCCTTGATGCCTATAATTTTTTACCGAAAAATTGAGCTTTTTTCAAAAAGTTTTTCAATTTTCCTCCAGAATTTAGTGGCTGGATGTCCAGGTTTATGAGAATCATGTTGGACATTTTAAACTAAAAAAAATAACATTTTGTTCCCTGGTTTTTTTACCTGCTGTGGATGTATGTTCTGTGAATTTTCTGGTTATCAAATGTTTGACAATACATTTATCAGAATCATGAAAAATTTTAAATGTAAATAAGGTTGCTCTAGCAAAATTTCAAATTGGTGAAACAATAAGCTGCCTATATTATTTAGAAAAGGCTTGATTAAGATTATTTCAAGCCAATGATTAAGGGCAAGTCATTTTTGAGGTGCTGACAATTTTCTAACATTCCAAAATAGGTAAGCGCTTTATTGAAATAACATCAGTACTCATTATACAGGGATTCAGTTGTTATGGACCCTGGAGTCCAAAGTCAGACTTTTAGTGGATCATCTCCAGAAGAAAAGGGAGATGGAGAGGCAAACACTTCTAGAGTGGCACCAATGAACCAAAGCGAATTCCTTGAAGTGAACAAATACCATGAGAAAGATAAGACAACTTTGGGTCAGAAGGTGTCTACTGGTTGGAGCAAGTTGTGCAATGTTGACACACTTCTAGAAAGAGTCTATGGACTCATGCCCATCTTGGAATGGCTCCCCAAATACAGCTTCAGGAAGAACCTTGTGGGGGACACTGTTTCTGGGATAACTGTGGCTGTCATGCATATTCCTCAAGGTACTTCTTTTTGGTCTACCAAGAGTCATTTCATTTTCGATTGATGGTCTGGTCTGTGCTGTTGGTTCCAGGAATGGCGTATGCCATATTGTCAGGGATGCCAGCAGTTAATGGACTCTACATGGCATTTTTTCCTGTGCTTGTGTATGTAGTTTTCTGCACATCCAGGCATAACTCTCAAGGTATGCGAATTTTGAGTTTTAATACTGCACAACCAATTGTCCATCTCAGTGTTCCCCAACCTGTGGTCCACAGTCTGGCACCAGTCAGCAGAAGTTTTATCCTGGTCTGTTGGAAATTTTTAGCATAATAAATTTATCAGAAGTCCAGATGAAGTCTTTTCGTTTTTCCTAAAATTTCAGAAATACAAGAGCAGTTGAATTATCTTATGAAAACAAAAGTTGTCTTTTCTCCTAATGAAACTTCAGACAAATTTTCACCTGCTGAACTTATGTTTATTTTTCATTCTGAGAAACCTTTCAAATTGTTTGATGACATTCTTAACTTAACTTTTCTTGCATCTTATACCTGCCTATAATAACATTGAAGCAAAACTTTGGCAATTCTGCAAAAAGTATTCAGCCTATGCTAGTCCACAGAAAAATTTTCAGAATTTCTTGGTCTGCAAAACTTCTTTTGAAAATTTGCTGGTCTGGAGGCCTAAAGAGGTTGGGGAACACCAGTCCAATAAGTGGTCCAATGACACAGATTTCCAATTTGAACTTGTCAATGACAAGTTCCTAATTTGAACACATTCCCTAAATTTCCTGAGAGAATTTGTGGTGTTCAATTAATGAACTAATCAAGACCAAGCATATTATTGATAATTCTGTACTTGTGTTACTTATTTGCAAATTCATATGCATATTTCAGGAAGTTTTGCAATTGTTCTACTTATGGCTGGAACACTGGCTGAACAAGTTATTAATGCCCATGAAACTGGAACAAACCTGCTGGGACCAAGGATTATAGACTTTGACCAATCTAAAGGATACACACCTACACAAGCTGTGACAATGGTGGCTTTTGGTGCAGGAATGTGGCAAGTTCTCATGGGAGTGCTGAAACTTGGATCACTGTCTGTTCTATTGTCTGATGTTCTAGTCAGTGGCTTCACAACTGGTTCAGCAGTCCATGTCCTCACTTCCCAGTTGAAGAACATTTTTGGACTGAATGTGCCAAAGGAGAGCAAGTTTCCTAAGCTTCTTAGGGTAAGTGTTTTCTTCATTCAGCAAAAGTGCTGCATTTAGAAAATAAAAGAGTGTGAAGTTAGTTGAAATATCTTTAAACCATTTTGATGCTTAAAAATCTCAAGGGCACTCAAAGACAATGTGTTGATGTCATCTTCAACAGCGTAAAATAATTCAATACATTATCAATTATGAAATTCTCAAGAGCATTATATAGATTTATTCATGATGTTTTTGTAAAGTTGACAACATGTTTCAATGATTAAGTTTGATGTGGGAATATCAGATCTTATTCTTCGGCTCTCTCAACAATGCCAGGATAGTCCTTGTTCAACATATTGCATCTTTTGTTACAGGAATAATTTAAAGATTCTGAATTTTTAAAATAGATAAATTTTTATTCAAAAGAGGAATAGGTTTCCTTTTGAATGAAATACTATTGATTGATGATCAATACTTTCATTTGAATTTTTCATTATAGTGGCACTCTTTTTTATCTCTTTCCTGGATAGTCCCACTACTTTGTCATCACTCATCTGTTGGAATCAAATGTGGCAGCAATCATTGTATCCACTGTTGCAATGACATTTCTAGCTGTGAACAATGATCATCTGAAGCCAAGGTTAGCCAAGAAGTGCAGGATTCCTTTGCCTGTTGAGCTGATTGTGGTGGTGGTTGGAACAGCTGTTTCTTACTATTTGGAGCTGCATGACAAACATGGCCTTGTCACTATTGGTATAATGCTGAATTTTGTCACTGGCATTTGGCCTTAGTTAGTGCATCAACTTAATTTTCAGGAAGTTTGCCTACTGGATTGCCTGCACCAAGTGCCCCACCTTTGGAACTCCTTCCAGATGTGCTAGGTTCACATTATATAATTTGCCATAGGTTCAGTTATGTGATTTGGTTGGGTATTCAGGTGGTTCTTTGGTGATTGCTGTGGTGGCCTACACAACAAGTTATTCCATGGCCAGAATCCTGGCCATTAGACAGAACTATGAAGTGGATGCCAATCAGGAGCTGTTGGCTCAAGGACTGGGGAATATCACAGGGGCATTTTTCAGGTCTGGTCCAATAGCTGCTTCACTTTCAAGATCCTTGATTCAACAGACTGTTGGGGGAATGACACAGATTGCCAGCATTGTTTCCTGCTTGGTGCTCCTGGTGATCTTGTTATTTATTGGACCCTTATTTGAATCCTTGCCAAATGTGAGTTTTTCTGTGTTCAGTTTTTGATCATTTTTAGCATTCAGTGAATAACATTCCTTACCTATATTTTCAATCTTGCTAACTTAATTGCAGGTTTAGATGGGTGTAGGGACTTGGAATAGGAACCTTGGAACCTTTTTTTTAAAATTCAAGTAAAATGTATTGGTATTTGTGGTTCCAATTGAAATTTTAAATTAGAATAAGCCATTCATTGATGCATAATTTTTATTTGCAGTTTAAATTGGCAGAAGTAATTTCAGGTTTCAATCAATTTGCTTTGTTTAGCCAAGTTTTAAAAGATCTGCTTTTGGTTACAGTGTATCCTGTCATCAATCATTCTGGTGGCCCTGAAAGGGATGTTTGTGCAAGTCTTTGATTTCACTGCTGCTTGGAAAACAAGCAGGCTTGATGCTGCTATTTGGCTTTCCACATTTTTATCTGTTGTTGTCATTGATATTGACATTGGCTTGGGTGTGGGTGTGGGTGTTTCACTCATCACTTTGATCTGGAGAGGTCAAAGAGCATATGCCTGTGTGCTGGCTGAAATTCCTGGAACTCCTGGAATATATGTTGATGCTGAGAGGTTTGAAACTGTTAGTATTTATGTTTCACCCTCCACACAGAAAACTTCATGAAAGATAATCTACTAAGAATAAAATGGTCACACAAAAATACTTGTCTGCCATCTTCAGAGCTGAAAATTATTCTATACAAGATATTAAAAAATAAATAAAAACTTTGATTGTTTTCTGCATCTGAGAATCATGTTCCCATTTCAAGTATCCTCATTATTCTTGCAATTTTGATATTGCTGAATGCAAAAGTTGAACTGAAATGTCAATAAGTGCTGAAGAATAAATTGCCATAGCATAGAGTCTGTCTATTAACAGCAGAGGCTTAACTCAGATTATTTTTTAGTGGTAATGAAATCATGCTTCAGCAAAACTTAATTGGATATTCATACATGTGTGTCTCTTCATTCAAGACACTTTTGTCCTGATTGACAATTTTCAACCATATCCCTTCATTCTTTTTTAAAAGCATTACGACATTATATTGATCATCAGCTACTGATTTTCCAGGCTGAAGAAATTCACAATGTGAAGATTTTCCATTATGGAGCTGGACTCCATTTTGCAAATTGCGACTATTTCAAGGACACATTGTACAAGCTAACTGGCCTTGACCCCATCAGATGGCATGAGTCTATTTTGCACAGACAGAAACTAGCCATGAAGGCAAAGAAACTTGGCAGGCCAAGAAATGAGAAGTTCTGCTGCCTGTCCTGCATATCCAGTTCTGCAGATGAGTCTATGGTTCAAAAGGTACTGTATTTTGCAACAACAACCCAATTTGGATCCAGTACTTTTTTAAAATCTTGAATTACTAGGCTGATGAAGGGGAATTGAGTTACATGGACAGGAAGCTGAGAAAGCTGAGTGTCCATGTTGACCCAACAGGGAACCAGTTGCCATTCAGATACCTCCTCATTGACCTGTCTGGGGTCAGCTTTGTGGATGCAGCTGGGATAAACTTGCTGAAGTCTCTTGTGCAAAATTATGATAGAATCTATGTCACTGTTGTTTTTGCAGGAGCTCAAGGTACACATTTCTCTTTCCTCCTACTACATACATCATCATTATTGGTGTACTCTAACTGTAATTGTTCTCCATAGTGCCAGTCATGAAGATGTTTGAGAAGCTGGACTTTCTCATTGATGTACCACCACAGTATCACTTCCCTACTGTTGGAGATGCTGTGGACTGCTCCAGATGGAAATGCTTTCCTGATAAACCTAGAAGTACCAGAGTTACTGGCAACAATGAGGCTGTTACTATTGATGTTGAATCCCTGAAGGAAGAATAATAAAATCAATTTGTGTTCAGTATTTCTGTATTTATAAATGCATCCTTTCACCTTCACAATTTTATGCATTGACCTCTCAAAATAGTCTCAAAATTTGGTTGAGGGAGGGGAAGGGGTGGTATGATGGGATGTGGGAAACATTTGTTTAACCTTGTGAATGCTGACAACCAGAAAAATTCAGTCAAATTCAATTTTTATCCATTTTGAGTTTCTGATTACATGTTACAGTTTTGCATTTATGTGTAAAACTGCAGCAAGAGTGAAAAACCGTTTGACTCAAGTGTAATAAACTGAAATGCTCTGGTCAGGTTTTAGGACATAATGCCCTATAATTGATGAGAGTGATATAAATGAATAAGGAATTGAGCATGTCTTATTCAGAAATGCAGAATGTGGCAGCACCAAAGTAATTTAATTTCCTAAAGAGAGGTCCAGTATGTAAAGAATGTACAGTACTGTATATATACACTATCTATTTTATAGTGAAGCCAAGTATAGTGTGAGATGTGTCCTTTTGAAATTTGCAGAAAAGGCTGTGGCATTTTTAGTGTATACTTTCCATTTTATTTTGGCCAATATGAGGCATACAATTTGAGAGTCACTTCCCAAATATTTCGTTTTTATAGGTTATATATATACAGTACAATGTTTATTTTTTATGTGCTGTATGATGTTCTATGGGAATTGCTCAAATAGTTAGGATTCATTGCAAGAAAAATTGCGTTGAATCATCCTTTAAAGGTAAAGCAACAAGCCTCCAATATATAAGAAGGTGTGAACCCAATTGAAAATCTGTGGCGCAATAGGGGGACAGCTCTTTCCAACTCCGCTTCAAAGCCACCAGCAAGACACACGCCCATTTTTATTTTCGAAATCAATTGTGTCCCCTTCTTTTCCGGTGTTTTGGAAGGACCGTTAAAAAGAGGTCGAGCCCATCTCTGAGAATATGGGCTCGACTCCTGATATCCTTGTGTTTTGAATTTTGAAAGGGGGTGAGGGTCAAAGGACCTTTTCTTGTTGCCAAGCATCAGGAGAGAGTTTGAGGAATCCAGAAGGTTGAATCTTACTAGTCAGGCTGGTGATGACTATACTGAGATACACTTGGTTACTTTGCACATGCAGAAAATTTATTGATAAAAATATAATTTGTTTTCAACCTATAAGAAATTTACAGTACCAAAAGGGCATCCTCAGAAAATATTAACAAATAAACAAAGACACCAATATAAGTTGATAAATGGAGGAAGCCAATAAAGAAATATTTTCCAATAGGAAGCAGCAGCATAAGACATGTATATAGCACATGTACTGTATTGTACAGTATAAAGTATTCACCTTCTGAAACTCCATGCTGGGAATTTTTGTGAATGATGATGAGTGCATGAAGAATGCTGAGCAAATGATGTACTACAGTATATAGCACAAATGAGTCTTTGACCTCCACTGTATCACTAAAAAATACTGTACCACTGTATACAATAATAAGTTAAAGTCAGAAGCACATGTAATTAATTTTTGGTGATGATTTCATGTGAGAGCTACTATTATTCAATAGGAAATTAATAACTAAACTATTATATTGTACTACAGTACAACATACAGTATTGCCAACCACACTTTCCCAAATTACTGTATATGTGATGGAAATAAAACCAAAATTTCAAGAAGAAAGATTGTTGTTCACAAATTTGCAGTTTAAATATGTGTTCCTCTTTATAAAAAAAAAAGCTTCTCGTTGAAAAAAAAATTGTTACGAACTGTGCACATCAGCTGCTGACTGACACAATCATTTCTCAAATCAATGCTTAAAATGGAGACTTGTATGATGCATGCTTTTAATTTGAATTAAATCCTATCAGGGTTTTGAATGATCGATATAAAAACCCAGTTACTGTACTGTACATTATAGTATAAGTAGGATTGCAACATGGGATGGACATTGGTCCATTTCTCTCCTCAGAAAACCGCTGTAGAATGCGAGCAACGGATCATTGCACCATGTCATTCTAATCATTAATCCGGCAATGACGATGAACCTTCCTGGACGCGTTTTCACCATGTTCCAGGAAACCCATGCGAAATTGCACCATTTGCTGCGACATCTATCAAGTAAGCATTCGTTGAATCCCTCAGATTTAAGGAAGCGCTCCCCCTTGCAACAACCCAAGAGTGCAGTAGAATAAAACAGAAAAAGTGGAGCGGATTAACTTCGCCCTCCGGAACTTACTGACACATGAGAAAACAGAAGGGCGCGGGGATATGGTGACTGTGTGATGGTGACGTTGTCTTGAGGAGATTCGGCGCTCCAAGATCCTCCCGACGGGTGAAGGACAGGGAACACGGTGACGCGGAGAGATGGAAGGACAGGCGCTTTTCGCGGGCTGACGTTCGCCGCAGAATCCATTTGCTTGTGACAGTCGGCCGTTGGCGCTGTTGCAGGGCAGACGTCGGCAGATGTTGGCCAGGTACTCTTGAGCGGGAAATGGCGCGTAGATTTCTCACCTTTTCGCCGATGTTCGATCTGTTACGAACCTTCTGCGCGTTTAGAAAAGTGAGGTTTTTCCAGCCCGGGATTTGGAGTGATTCACGAGCGTTTTCAATATATTATACTGAAGGTGTCAGTCGACCGTTGCACAAATTGTTTTCTGGAAGTCAATTTTTCGATCTGTTTCGCGAAACCTAATTTTAAAAGTGGGTCCTCTTTCCCCCGTTGAATTCTTCTTACTCAAGAGAGTCTCTGATAAAAGAGACGCGTGGAAGATGATACATGAACATGAGGTACGAAATATACTGCGGAACGTCAATATTGTAGTTCTGATCCAACTTCCTAAATTTCGATATACGCTTCCACAGCGGCGATAAAGAGTAGAACTGTACGTTTAAAAAAAAGGGAGTATCGAATTATCGATTGCGGAAAATTTTTGCGTGTGCGATTTCCGGTTCGTCTGGGGTGTTTTTTCCTTCTTTTCTTATCTTCTGTACAGTGCACTAGGTGTGTACGCGTGTGTAAGAAAAGCATATTATTGATTGGGAAGCTATACTGACGAGTAAGCAGAAATAGTTCCTGGGGAAATTTTCAGCCGCGGAAATACTTCCTGGAATCATTTACTCATAGGAAATGTCCGTTCCTCTTATGGAATTTTTTTTGTGCCGCAGTTATCTTCCTTGCGTTTTATGTATGACCAGTTTCCGACAGGGAATTCGGAAAAGTTTTGCGCATTCGTCAAAGTTTCCGAGTTTCTGAGTAATTTTTTGTGCTGGAAAATTTTATGAATAATGAAGTTGTTGAACGACCATGTAGTATTTCCTCGTGAATTGATATGCAAGATTTGAAGTATGAAGTCGTCACTTGTATTCTGACGAAGGAAAAAAAAAGTAAGGCAAGTTGGTGCTTTTCTTCATTTCCATTCTGGTCTTCGAAGTCTGCACGCGTTGTGTTAAATCAATTTCCAGAAATTGGTATCGCTTGAATGATAATTGCTCCATCTATTTGCACTATTTGTCAAATAAAGAGGGAAAATTAAGCAGCGTTAGTTAGGTGATGGATAACGTTTTTATTTTTCATTTCCCAATGGTTTTTACCTCATTCAAGTTGATTAATACAGTGATTGTGCTTGATTATGCGCTTTAGGTTTGTTGTTGTGTACTGTTGAACCTCTCCAAGTCAGAAACCTCTTAACCTCCAATTCCCGTTAAATACCCTGCAAAAAAGCCCTAGACTAATGCATTTGAAACTTTCTCAATTTTCAGTTAACTTTTAGTCTCTTCAGATTTAAGTTGAGATTCAACTATCTTAGATATTTTGAAATGTTTTATTGTGGACTGAACTTGCTGGGATGCCAAAAAATTAATTACTGCGGAGGACCAAATCAATTCTAATATTATAGCGAAAGTTCTGTCACTTACGGGAGCAAACGGACAAAGGTCAGTCGCGTACTAGAACAGTACCTAAAGACTTTTTCTTGGAAAAGTTCTACTTTGTGCGAAGATGAAGTTCTACTTCTGACGCATTTGTTTTTCCGAGAATCGTCACAGATGATCTTATGTAACATATGGTTTTTTCTCTACGGAAATCTCGGGATGATCGGATGGGGAGAATCTTCTGGAAGTCACCAGGTGTGTTTTTTTTTTTTTTTTTGCGGGCTATTCGATAAGCATCATGAATTTTCCGGCACGGGGAACTCGTGATCCAGTGTCATTTTTCCTGCGCTTTCAAGCCTCACTTTTGGAAACTATAGTGGATCTCTGGTGTGGTGAAAAGTGCGTAGTTGAGTTTTCCTGAATTCTCCGTTACAAATTCCGTGAAAGAAATGCATATGCGTCCAGGGGGACGGTTTTTCCGAAATGGGATTTGTAGAAGGTTCGATTCCGGAGGCGCGACTCGCGTGATGGAGGAGGGCGAGGGCCGAGGTACATAAAAGTCCGAGCGCCCGGCATGTTGAAGTCAGTCTCGTGATGGCCGGCCAAGTGATCGGTCGTGTCACTGAATTGTTTCTTCGGCATATTTTTCTCGGGATTGCTTGAACTTGCGATGATCATTTCATGATTATCCTTTCGTTGTTTATTCAACCCAATGAATTAAGCGTCGTTCCTCGACAGCATTTGTGCTGTTTCGGGAAGAAGTCCCACTTTAAATGTTATCCAGAAGTTCTCTAGGAGATCAAACGGAGCTATCCTAGTTGGGGGGACCCAAGCGCAAAACTGGGTCCCAAGTCTGGGTCCCCCCAACTAGGATAGCTCCGATCCAACCAAAGTGTTTCTTCGATTCTTCCGGGATGTCTTGGAACTTGCGATATATCTGTGATTATCCTTCCCTTTTTATGCAACTCAATTCGGCGCCGTTTCTCGGCAGCATTTGTTAAGCGTTCCGCAGGAATTCCTAGCTGACATTTTATTTGGAAGTTGTCTCGATCTATAAAGGAGGTATTGGCATCTTTAAAGCTTGAGGCATCGGCGCATCCTTTGCGACATTGTTGACAGTGCGTCTTGAATTCTGTGGAAAACTTGGGATTACGGAAGAATATTTTCGCCTCAACTCTTCTTTGATCTTTTATGCTGATCGAAACTTTCTGGGATTATTTTCCTCTTATGCGAGCAAGTGACTGTGCGTGTTACATGTTCTCCGGTTAACGAGTGGCTATAGCATCTCAAATGTCTAATATTTTACTGCGAGGAATTCTAAAATTCCGGTGATCTACTGTATTTCCCCGCATTCGAGCCAATTTTCCCTGATGACATAATTCTGCGCGTTTTCTGGAGGGAATTAAAAGTGGATATGAGAACAATGTATGAAGAAGTTCTAGAGGTTGAACGTTGTTCCATTTTCCTCGCGCTGGGTTCTCCCCTTCTGATTTTTGTGTTGTGTGAAGTGCGAAACGAAACGAAAAAGAGGAGAATTTATGCGCTGTATGTTTTTGCATGTCAAACAAAAGAGTGCGGGCTTGTCGAAAGTGGCTATTCAAGTCGCGTTATGAGGGAGTGTAGCAGTGAACTCCCGTCCCGGCGTTTCAAGCTGGTCTTTCAACCGCCTATTTTGAATCGATCTGTGGAAATTGGCACCACGCCGCCGCCGCTTTTCGAAGAGGTTCTCGTCACACTATAAAAGAGCACGAGGCGAAAAGCGAGAAAAATCGTCAGAAAGAAACGAGAGGAGGAGACAACAAACGAAGAGACTCTTCCGCAGTTTTTTTGTGTGTCCAACAAATTTGTCTTCTTTGGATTGTTGTATAATCCGAGGAGGAGACGAGAGAAACGATGTCGACTAAGGACTCTATGATGCACGGCGTCTTTGGCATCAAATCACCTGCGCACTTCGACCGGCTCTTTGCTGGAGTGTCGGGTGGAATCGCGTCCACGCTTTTGCTGCATCCGTTGGACGTCGTCAAGACTCGATTTGCAGGTGAGATAAATTAGTTTCTTTGTAAAATTCAGGTGCGAAAAAAATTTTGAGGAGGAAACTGGGCGTAAAAATTTGAATTATTTTGAATTGGGTGTTGTTTCGGAGCGATTTCAAGTTATCAAAGATCAGTGAAAATCGAGATGTGTAACGATGCGTCAGAGACATTTGCGAACGCGAGTTCGCGTTGAATTCAGCGCAGATTGGTCAAATTTCACTTGAAATCTTTCGTGAAATGTGCATTTCTTCCCGAGGCGTTTTGCAAGACTTTAGCCACTGAGCTCAGCTGTGTAAGCAGGCTGAGACTTGCGCATGGACACAATTTTCTGTGAGTGAAGCTTTGTTGGGCAGGAACTGATTTCTTCTCATGAAGAAGTATAAAGGTCGAGAAATACTTCCTAACATTTTTGAATTCTGTGGATGAAAGGAAGTTTTAAAATGCAAGTATGTAGCGAAGCTTTTCGTCAATTTGCATGGAAAATTATGAATTTGTACCTATTCAGGTGAAACTTGTAACTTGTTGGTCTGTATGAAATTTGGAATCCATTTTAGTTGCCATTGTTCGGAAATCAGTTTCTTCTTCGGTGAAAAGCGGTCTTTCATTTTGAAAATCAATTCATTCATCTGAAAAAATGAAAATTTTTCTTGTATTGTATTGGTTGAAAGCTTTTCCCGTCATTGCTGTTAAATGCATTTTAAAGATCAATTATCGATCATGTAGAACTACTTTTCAGAAGGTGGTTGACGTAGAATCAAAATTTGTGGAAGGACTGGAATTGAATGATTTACTCATGAAGAAGCAAAAATGTCGTCTGTGGTCAAAGTTTGTTTGTTAATTCAGTGACAAAATTGTGCGATTGTGTCAAATTTGTATCTCATTTACCATATATATACAGATATATATATACAGTATATATATATATACTGTACTGTACAGTATACATAAATATAATCTCGATTCTAGTTTGGCTTCAAGTACAAAAGAGCCTTGACTGCTGGCTTGTAGTTTCCGATAATATGGTGCAAGAGATTCTTGGAAACTTACAAAAGAAAACCTTTCACTCCCATTCTTGTGACTTCCCAGGACTGTTCAAGTATCTCATAATCTGAACTTTTTCATTTCTCCTGAGACACGCAGTTTAAAGTCGAAATAATGCCAACTGCCTGTACTAATTTTTCAGAATTCTCGGGATTCGTTAGTGCGTGCTGCACTTGATCTTGTTTATTTTTCCTGATACGAAAATAAAAGATACATTTGGAAAATCAGAAAACTTTCGCGGTTGTTAAGTGCGTAGTTTTTGCCCATGGTTTTTATGAATGAGGAAACCGTCGTTTTTTTTCGAAGGTCTGTTGAGGACAATAGCTTCAGACCTCCGGGGCCATTTTATTTGTTTAAACTCAAAACTAGTTTCTCTCGCTTTGTCTAAATTTTAACGTTGCTCTTTCGCGTGGGAAGATTTTTTTTAGTGATTCACTCACCTTTGATGAGTTCAAGGATTTCTTCAATTGTCTGTATTTTCTTTCTGATCATTGGATAAGATGGATGCGATTCGATTTTCGATTTTACACTTATATAACGTTCATGGTACGTGACCGAACTATTCTCGCACAAGAAAAAATAAATTGGGGTGGAAAATATGGTGACATTTATATAAGCGAAAGTACGAAATTATTTGAATTACAGTATTTGCATTGTTTGAATGATCACATGATGTGTTTCCAAACTGCGCAGTCTTCCGGAAGGGTTGTCCTAGTATTCGCGCGCCAATTCGAATGATATGCAAGAACATTTTTCATTCATCAAGAAGCAATCAATGGGATTTCTCAGGAATCTTTTGAAATTTTCGCAATGCAATTTGGGACATTCAGAAAAAAAAACGATCCGATTGGCTCTAAATTGAAATGAAGTTTCACTGTCCCAAATTAATTTTCTTCTTTGAGCAGTCAGCGCTGAAAAATAGTTAATTTGCGATTGTGAAGAATCTTTGGAACTTTGGCGATGAACCTTTTTTTTTTCGCCCTCGTTATTTTTGCTCTTCGCAATTCTGGCCAACAATTGGTGGACAATTTAGAAAAAAAAATCTTTCGGACAATGTCTAAATGTCGGTAGAAACTTGCCTGGCTTTCTGTTTCTGAAGCATTAGAAGTTTCCAGAAACTAGGACTATTTTGTATGCACGTGCTGTTTAATTAGGAAGAGTGTATTTTCGAGCTTGACTTTCATTCTGAAAGCATCCATCTTCAACATTTTAATTTGAGGGATAAGCGCCATCTGTGATGTTTTTCATGAAGTATAAATTGCCTTGTGATGCATCGAATATGTTTGAATTTTAAAATTTGTTCGTTTTGGACCGAAACGGGAGTTTTCAAGTTTTGAGATTCACGAAAAATTGAAATTTCATCTTATTGGGACTCACCCATTGATTCATTATTGAAGATGCAACGAATGAATGTCCATGTGATGTTCAGCATGTCTTTGGTTACGTACAGTTTTCTCAAAAAATGTTAACGTAGACACCCTTTGAGTTTTGTTTTCTTTTCTTCAATTGTACTGTATAAGTAGAATTACCAATGGTCTCTGTGATTCAATTTCTTAATTTCCTGTTGTTTTCTTTCTTTTTTTGTGCCTTCTGTGCAGTGGATGATGGCAGAGCACCAGCCTCATCATCACCAGCACTGCGCCCCACCACCACTGCTTCCGTGGTGGCCAAGAATAGGGTGAACACCGCCCTGGCCTACCAAAATGGCAGCAGCGTGTTGGCAACCCTGAAACTCATTTTCCGTGGGGAAGGAGTCCCCGGACTCTACCGAGGCGTCATGCCTAATGTTTTCACTTCCGGCCTTGGCTGGGGCCTCTACTTCTACGCCTATGACAACATGAAGGCGTGGCTGAAGCCGCCGACAGAGGGCGCTGCTGATAAGCCACTCAGTCCTGGCCAGCATCTCGCAGCTGCCACTTGGGCCGGTGTCGTGTCCCTTATTGCTCTCAATCCGATTTCGGTCGTCAAAACAAGGTGGGTTCGCCTTTCCTTGCTTTCGAGTACCACACGTGAACCCCCCCTTTTTTCTCTCTCAGAATTGAGAGGAGGAAAAAGGGGGCGCGAGTCATTGGTAGTTTAGATGTGGATTATATTTTTTATACCAATTTAATCAGGAAACCTTGTTTTCATGGAAACAATGGAAAATTAGATGGATTTGGGGTCAATTCACGGATGAATTCTAATTTGGGTATTGATATTTTCGAAATACTGTATTACTGTTTTAGAGTTACTAAAAATGGGGTGTGCGTGGTGCTTTAGTAAACATGGTAAAATAGGGTTGATCTCCTTTCAGAGCACGAATTCATTCGGCTTTTTGTTTTGTTTGTTTTTGGAAACAGGATCATTATTCAGAAAGAGAGCCCCACAGCCCTGGTGTCATCCTCAGCTAGAGGAGGAGCTACTGCAGCAGTGCACTACACCAACTCTTTGGATGCTTTTTTGAAAATCTACAAGTTTGAAGGACTCAGAGGTCTCTACAAGGTGAGTTTTTCCAAATGCCCGGTTACAATAAAGTCCAAAACCATAGATTTCGTGGATGTTTTCCTCAATTCAAAACTTCAACCAAGATAATCGTGATCCTCATGAGATATGTCCGTAAAATAAATTGAACATCTATACCCAGTAAATATATACTGTACCGGTAAAATTTGAAATTTGAATTAAATTGAATAGCAAGCAAATTGAAGAGGAAATCAGCTTTAATTCATGCTGGAACTTCTGATTGATCAACTGGAGATGTTTTTCACGGGTAAAGCTGAAAATTATTTTGTATTTTGGAAACTCTTGGAAGTATTTCCTGCTCTCAAAAGCCATTTCAAACGCATGCTGTTCCAAAATACTGAGATTTGTAAATTGCATTTCAGAATCAATTTTTTGCTCCGAGAATAATATAATACAGCATATAAATTATAATATGTACTGTATTAACTTGAGTACTGTACTGTGTATACTCGAGTAAGATGTGCACCTGATTTTGTCCTAAAATTTGGATAAAACCTATTCTTGAGTGAGGCACGCATCCTGTTTTCAATGGCAGAGAAGTTGCAACATTTTGAAAAGAAAACGCATTGGAATACAAATTTTTAACTCAAATTAAACCCAATTGTATTAACCTTCAAAAATGTTATATATCAAAATCAACCATTATGATCACATGATGATGTTCACCTGAAATTTTGAAATGAAATTTCCAACATTTCATACGTGCTTATGATGCTCACCGTCTTTTTTTCCCTCCAACAATAAAAAATGTGTGTGTGTGTGGTACTTGCATAAATACATTACAGTACTTCCTTAAGGAAAAACTCGGTAGAATCAGGAAGAATTCTTCTTTTGAGGTCGTCTTTGCTTTTCCTGGTGCATGAAGTGACTTTAACCCTTTTGTGTTTTTTTTTTTTGGGTTCTCTCTAGGGTCTGGTCCCGGGTTTCTGTGGTGTGATCCACGGATCCCTCCAGTTCATGGCCTACGAGGAGCTGAAGCAGGCCTGCAACTCGCACAACAACCGCCCGCACAACTGCCGCCTCTCGTCGGCCGAGTACCTCTGCTGCGCCGCCGTTTCCAAGATGTTCGCCGCCGTTCTCACGTATCCACACCAGGTCGTCCGAGCCCGTCTCCAGGACCAGTACAAGTCCTACGACGGCCTGGCCGACGTCGTGCGTCGCACTTTCCGCGAAGAAGGACTCCGGGGTTTCTACAAGGGACTGGCGCCGAATCTCATGCACGTCACGCCCAACATTTGCCTGGTCTTCATCATTTACGAGAAGCTCACCGAAGGCAGTCGAACAGGCAGATGATGATGGATGACCTGACATGACATGACCGACCGACCGACCCCCTCCAGATGCTCTTTTCTTCTTCAAACGGAGGACCCCGTGCGAAACCCCCCCATTCGAATTTTCCATTCCATATGTACTCTACTGTACTGGAGAAGACGGCGCAGGGAAATCTTGAGTCTCGTGGCAAAAAAAAAAAAAAAAAAAAAAAAAAAAA